TCGAATTCTGCACGTTCAATACGATCACTAAATTTAATATTTAGAAAATATTTTTCGATTCAATCATAATATAATATTATGATATTTTACAACTTCGCTCTGAAGTTCGAGTTCAATCTAATATAGACAAAATAGTGTGATACTAATAAACGGATTCTTATGATTATTGTTCACTGTATTTATTATAAAGTATATGAATACAGACAAAAGTTTTTATGTCTTATATCTGTCAAGTAATCTTTTGTGAGAATAGTTCATTTTGAAAGTTTCATGTCTTTTGATTTGTTCCTATTCTGAAATCGACCGGTTTATATTTCAATTAAGTACGGCTGGTTAATAATTCCTTTTGAATTAATTAATACACTATATTGCGGACTATGCAAAGTAGAAATTTCATTTAGAGCATTTATTTATGCATTAATGACCTTGGTGTTAAAGACAAATTTTATTATTCTTATGAATTCCGTTTAAATAATCAAGAAACAAACCAATATTTCTCTCAAAATCTTTTTAATCAAGATTCTGAAAACAACTACTTACAACCAAGCATCTGCCCAATAAATACGATCATCATCAAAATCAATTGTTAAACCATTTGGCCATTTTATATTAGTTGTAACAACATAAGTTACTTGTCTTCCAGTTAATGTCGAACGACGAATTGATGGATAATAACCAACATCTGACCAAAATAATAATCTATATTTAACAAAAAAAAAATTCTTTTTTTTCTCTTGAAAAATAAAAAAAGAAGAAATACAAACGAACCCTTTGCATGGATGAACAACAATTGCTTTTGGTCGTGAACTACCAGCTATAACTAATCTTTCTGAACCATTATTTCTTGCCGAAATTATTCTTCCATATCGTTCATCTGTCCAATATAAACGATCCGATACCCAATCATATGCTATACCAATAGGTTGTGAACGACCTTAAAATTTTCTTTTTTTAAAAAAAAAAGAAACAAATTTCTAATATTTTTACTTTACCAGTAACATTTGTTTGTATTAATTGTCGTGCATTTGGATTTGGATCATCCATATCAAATGAAAATATATCTTGTAAAAGATAATCCCTTTAAAAACAAATGAAATTCATATTAATCAAACAAAAGAAAAAAAAAAGTTATTTACGTATAAAATATTTTCCTATCTCGATAATCAAAATCAACTCCAACTACTAATCTTAAATTTGTAATTGCACGCCATGGTGCACTTGTTGATGAACCATGTGGTTCCATTGACATTGAACGAATTTCTCTTTCAATTGCAACAAGTAAATATTCATTTGGTGCTATGACGAAAAGAAAAAATATTTTAAGATTATAAAAAAAAAAAGAAAATTCTTACGTGCACAAGTTCGTCGATCCATATTTAATGTTCCATATGCACATGCACATTGTGGTATACTTGTATCAGGCATAGCAAAACAAAGATCTTCACAAAAACGTTGTTGTGTTGTTGATGTTTGACATGGTGATTCAAAATTGGGTTGTTCATCAAATAATGTCATACCACCAACTTCATATGTTTTTAATGTTAATACTGATTCTAAACGTTGTGTCATATTACTAACAGTTTTATTAATACGCATTATCTTGAAAACACAAAAAATTAATAAATGAATATTTTACAAAAAAGTAAAAATTTTACCGATGAAAATGCTCGATCCATTATATATAAATCATTATTTGCAATAAGTAGACTAATTGCTTTTGGAATATTACGTGAAACTGTTCGACGATTTCTTCCATCCCATGATATAGCTTCAACTGTATCACGTATTGCATCCGACCAATAAACATCATCAGTAAGAGAATCAATTGTTATTGATTCTGGTCGAATAATTTGTGTTGTTACAAGATATATTACATTTTGACCATTGAGTAATGAACGAACAATACGAACACGTTGACCACGATCACACCAATAAAGAAATCTAGAAAATAATAAAATTGTTCTTTGTTTTTTGGTTTCATTAAATTTAACCTTCGTTTTGGATTAACAACAATAGCATAAATTGTTTCATTTGTTCCTTTTCGTAAAATTAATCGATGATCTGTACCAAGACGATTAACTTCTAAATGACCATAAGAATTTGTTACATAAGAAAAATATAAATTTCCAGCTATCCAATCAAGTGTAAGACCAAGAATAAAATTTCTTTGTGATCCAACACTTATTTGAAGATAATTTGTTATATTCCATATTCGATTATTTGTCCAAATTGCACGACGAATTAAACGATTTCCATCTATCCAATATAATTCACGATTCGAATATCGAGCTGTTAACATTTCCATATTATTACCTAACGAGAAAAAAAAAGAATATTAAGAAAATAGAATTTGAAAACTTTCATCAGAAAAAACAATATATATATTAATCTGATGTCAATTTATTCTCAAATAGAATAAATCTTACCAGGAATTAATGGCATAACATCTTCTCTTGCTGAATCATTTGATCGATAATCAAATGCTCTTAATAATGCATGTGTACTATAAACAATATATTGTTCACTTCTAGGTGAACATGTTCGTTCATCACTATTTAATTTATATCCAATAGCACAATCACATGTTGACATACTATTATGATTAGAATCAATTTGAAAACAAATTTGTTCACAATATGAACCATAATAACAATTTGGATTGAAAACTAAATAATAAAATATTATTTTAATAAATAAAAATAATTTTAACCTTCATAACGTGGATAAGCACGAACTTGTCTTGGATCTTCTTGATTTGTTCGTACAGGTATAATATCTGATATAGGATTTAAACGATAATCAAACCATTTTTTATAAACACCTTCATATTCTTTATCAACAAAAAATAATGAATAATGTGTTAATGTTACATCATCATTTTCATTAGTTGGTCTTGATGATGTTGAAGAATATAAATGTGTAAGAAAATCAAAACCACGTGGATGATTTACTTCAACATCAAGTACTTTTGTATCACCTGAATCCATACAATGATATGAAATCTATAGAAATTAAAATGCAAAATAGTAGATCTTTTTTTATTTTTGTTTTTTACTCTTTGTAAACCAAAATCACTCCAAAATATACAATGAAGATTAAGATTATAAACAATATAATTTGGTTGTAAAAGATTATCAACAATGATATTTTCAGAATATTTTCCATCAAAACGAACACGACCTATTTTCATTGGAATTTGATCACTACCAAGATCAATCCAATAAACAAAACTAAAAAATTTATTTGTAAAAAATCAAAAAAAAAAAATTTTGTTTTTTAAACTAAACAATACCCATTTGTTGTATCAAGATCAAGTGCTATAGGTCGTATTATACCTGTAGCATTTTCATGATTACTATATACTATTGTATGATAGAGACCATTTAAAGATATTGCATCAATTCGACTATGACGAATATTAGCAATAAATAGATTACTAATAATTAAATGAAAAATTGAAGAAAATAATTAATTTCAAAAACAAAAAAAAAATTTATGTTACCGTCCAACAGCATCAATTTGCATTGTACCAGCTTCCATACCAACTAATATTTCATCATCACCATAGAAAACAGTTTCATTAGTACCATCGAAATTAATTCGACGAATTTCATACTATACAAAAAATATCAAGTCATTAATTAAATATTTGTATTGATATTTAAAGAAAATCCTAGGAAATATTGTTGAAATTTTCATGGAAAAACTAAATTATATTAAAAAACTGTCAGCCCAGCCATTTTAGGAAAACTTACATGTGTTTTTAAGTCTCATTATACTAATACAAAATATATTAAGTAAAAAATCTCTAGTTATTTCTCAAGAATAATCGATCGTCAGAGAATCGATTTGTCGCATCTCGAATTTTACTGGTGCTATATTCTTTTTTTTTGGTTTGTCCTGTTGCTATTCGCTCATTATTACTGTAAACATCGGCAAATAACCCTGGTGTGCATATTCATTGTATCTACAACAGGTTCTTCAACACATCATTATATATCTCGGTAAACTAGAAAACACGGGAAGTGATTATTTTCTAAAGTTATAATTTTACCAGAATGACAACCGTAGCAAATCAAAACATTACTACCCATTATTCTGGACATCTTCCAGCAATTCAAATTTCAATAAAGGCTTCGAAATATTCTAAAACATTCTAATTCTTGTCGTTCATTGCTGTTCAGCGCCTTTTTTCGTGACTAAAGAACTCTGATGCCAATTGTCCTCGGTTGCTATGGAAACGTACCTAATGATCATTGGCCTTTCCCCCGTTGCTTTGAGGGAAAACAACAAAACTTTCACTCACTATATTTTTTTTCGAAAA